TGTGGGGATCGCTGAAATGTACTAAGCTCAGAGTGGAGAAAGACCCTGGAAAAGATGTTTAATGGGGGTTCTAGAGAGAGAATTAGCACAGAGTATTTTTGCAGGTTTATGCAAAAAGCAAACATCATTCACAGACTGATATGTCTTGTCCTACTTTTTCTTCCCCCCAGGTTTGCATCTTCAAATCCCACAAAAGACAGATTTTTACAATGTATCTGCATTCAGTGTAGAGTATGTCAGGCTTGGCAGACTTCATTCAGTTTCTCCTGCAGGACTATCGTGTAAGCCTACATATATTCATTATGTTTTTTTTATCAGAAGCAGGGTGAGTATCTTCTTTCTGTCCCATTTCTGCACCGTGGTTCAGAGACAAATCCTTGTGGCTGCGTGAAAATCAACCAGCTAAACGCAGATGAAGATGGGCTTTGGGGAATTATCCACCCACACACAACATTTCAATCTGAGATTTTAGAGATTTTTCAAGGCACTTTACGGATGATATATTCAAACGTCCTACTTTATTTATTTATTTATTTAAAATAAAGCTGTCATCTTTGAGTGAAGATCAGTCAAATCAGCACCCAATGCTTCTCTGCTTCCCTCCAAATCTGCAGACGAGGGCATTTGTCGTTCAGCCTTCTTTAAACGGTTCTGCTCTTTGTAAAAATATTTTTTAATGTGGTTGTCAATGAAGTGGAAATTTCCCATGATCAGCACTGTTGAATCTGAGTAGAGTATTTTTATATTATTTGAAAACCAACTATAAAGGTGAAGAGAAAAAACACTAAATCCAATATAGACAAATACAAATTTGCAATGGCACAATGAAAAAAGGCAGTGATTACATTAAGCCCAGTTCTAATTGATCCAAGTGTCCCAATAAGTCATGCCAGTGTGCCAAAGAAATTATGATGATTACTTTACTATTGTGTTCATCCTATTTTGTTATGTCCTTAGTGACAACAGTCTATACATCAGCAGCAGCAATGCTTAAAACTTGATAAAAAAAATAATCAAGAAAGATACAGCCTTATCTATTTAAAAGTAACATGTACATTCAACAAATACTGTCCTAAAGTGAAATTCTGAGGGAGCACATTGCTTGTGCATTTATTTTAACCTAAAGCTTTTTAACAAAGAACAAGGCAGATACTAAAGTTAGTGTGAACACTGGCTCATAGTTCATCAAACGTCTCCCACTTAACTCTGTTTGATTTGTCTGAAAAAAAAAAAACTTCTTAATTGTAATTGTGCAAAATTTGAGATTCCTATAAGTCATATATGAAGGTACATATAGTTTTGTTTTTACATGTTTTACAGGCATCATATGTGAGGGGCTCTACATGAGTATTTCAAAACTTTATATTGAAAAAATGAGAAGACTACCACAAATTTTGGATATAATATTAACAAAAATGTGCTCTTTCAAGAAAGATTCATTTGGATTTGGTACATGGTGTAATACCTGAGGTATCTCCCACTGAAGTTGGATGAAAATGTGTGTGACCAAAATTTACTATACTAGAGGGGACCAACAGCCCTCCTGGGGACCAAAATCCATGTCACTCAAAATGTGGTTTTAGTGTCAGGGTTACAGTTGGGTTATGGTTAGGTATAAAAGAAAGTTTCATTTAGTTGACTTGGGCATTATGTCAATGGGATGTCCCCACAAGGATAGCAAACCAGACGTGTGTGTGTGTGTGTGTGTGTGTATTATATTCGAGCTTTAATATCTCTAAACCAATCATCTGATTTTGACAGTTTTGTAGAATATTATGTGCCTAGTGCAGAGAAGCTGTAAATAAAATATCAGTCCTCTACCTGAAAAACTGTGGTTTCTGCAGGCCTTTAAATGCTGTCAGAGATTGGACATCCAATTATTTTAAGGATTCAGGGATCCATCTTTCAATGTTAACTTGAGTTACACTCCTGACAGCCCATGTACATAGAGCCTTAGACCGATATATTTAACATTTTATTATTCTTAAAATAAAAAGAAGATCCGGCTCAAAGAGTTTTATCAGTTTTGTAGATAGTTTTTTTTTTAAATGCTAGAAAAAAGTTAAAAGACCATAATTCCTTTTTTTTAACAGAAAAATAGTATTATTGGAAATAAACCTTTCTGATAATAATAAAATAATAAGTTCCATTAAGAACAGTAGGTTTCCCTTGGAATTGTTTCATGCAGATCTGAGGTGGTCAGATGGACGCTTTATTTCGAACACACTGGAATAGAGATGGAATAACCCCAATATGGTTAAACAGCAACGTGTAAAAATGTCTTGCAAACTGATAATCTATTACGCATTATTATATTTTTTTTTTTGCTCAAGATTATAAAAATAACTCCTCTGTGCACAAATGAACATTCTTTTTGAATGCTACTACTACTACTAATAAGAAGAATATGATTTATATTATAATATGATATTAATTAACATCAGTGGCAATTGTAGCACACTTGTGGCACACTGAATTTCTCAAAACAGAAACAAGCTACACTGCACATGCTCATTAGGACTCTTTCTCTGCCGGTAGAAAAAATGCAGTTAGATTTCTCCTGCAGAAATTTTCCAGGTCAAAATTGATTCGGATGTAAAAAAGTAAGGTTTTTTTTTTTGATCTATAGTATTTTTATTCTACTGTCTAAAGTTTAGATGACTTAAACGTACTTCAACGTTATCTTTGTGTTATCGGTTAAAAAGTAACATCAGTGGATTGTGGTAAAATAGGTATTGCTTGGTAGAATAAAAGCTTGTAATGGGTGCCATATGTCATAAATAAATGTGAGTCGTTGGGCTTAAATTGTAAGAAATACATTTTTCTTTCAGTAAAGAAAAAAATTCAGTAAAATCTTTGTGTAAATTTTAAAAATTGTGTACATTTTATTTGTAAGATAATTTCTGTACCATTTCTGTTTTTCTTCTGTAGAAACAGAAAGCTCAATAGTAGATAGCAAAAACACTTTACTGTCACTGAAATATTCATCTACTATGTAATTGCTTTGGTGTAGTATGTTCATGTGAGAGGTGTTTAACATTAGGAAAAGCAGTAAAACGTGTTATAATGCAGTTAAACGTCCAAAATCTGGGCCCTTTACATTTTTCAAACGTTTCCAGTGAATCTTACTGGAGTCTCTCCCAGGCTGATTCTGGCCCCTGAGCCTTATGTTTCATACCACTGATCTACGTGACTACTAAATTCATTCTGTTTGACATGCAGTTACTATGATTTTTTTTTTCCAGTGTTGGTTAAAATATTTTAAACATGCCTTTGTAGTCACTAACTAAAAGTAGTCATATATTGACATGGTTTGTTTTATAATGGTTACTGTCTATTTTCTATCTTTCTTTAAAAAAAATCAGTGCAACGAAACAGACACAGAAGGATTGTTAAATGTTAGTATGTTTTGATTAAATTATCGACGCTACACTAAGTTGTGCACTTCAAATTTGACAGCTCATAGGAATAAATGATCAAATAAAACAGGACTCTCTAGATATCCCCTAACGAATTGCGTCTGTATCCGCTCCCTGCGTCCATGTATGAATAAAAATAATAATAATGATAATGATAAATGTCGATGACAAAAACAGTAAAGGAGGTGTCCGCTGCAACTCCCGGGAGCCCACTGCGTGGCCTGTGCTGATGTGAATGCAGAGATAGGCGTATTTTGAGGAAGATGATCGGGAGGAGGAGGGCGGGGGAGGAGAGGAGACGAGAGGAGAGAGGATGGAGAGGGAGTGAGACCCGGATGCTGATGCGAGTGAGGCGAAGGAAGGAAGAGGGGAGAGAAAATATCGATTTACGGCAAGAAAACCGAAGGGAGTGTAATAGAAGGGGCCTTTACCCTGCGTGAACTGTCATCAGGAGCGAGGAGGGGGATACGGCAGCTGGTTATAGCGCACCCATATCCGCGGATATCAGTGTGCGTGTGTGTGTGTGTGTTTTGCACCTGTATACCCGGCGGTGAGGGGAGGAGGACACGCCAAAGGAGAGAAGAGAAGATGCTGTGATCCGCTACTTGCAGGGATGTAGAGAGGGAGAGACGGGAGAGTCAGGGAGGGGGAGGACGGCGCTACGTTAAAAAAGATGCTTGTTTTGCGGGGAATACGCGTTTCACCTCGAAGTATTGTGAGAATGCGGCGGCCGTGTAATAAATCGTACCGTTTGGCGAAGCCCAGAAACTTCAGGCGGTGTCGGTTTTTTTGACAGGCGGCGCGAGCGAGACGGCCGTTCGTCAAGGCGTTGAAGCTAAAGCTAGCCTCGCTGCTGTGTGGGAGAGCGGCGGCGAGGCTAAAATAGCATGTTGTTGGACCTGTGAAACAGGCCTGGCAATGAGGGGAAAACAGTGATTTCATTTTCAGTGCAAGCATACACTTGACGTATTGGACGTTTTGTCCGTTTACTTAACTAAAAATAATATTAAGCGTAGGAAAAATACATGAATATTTTAAGGCAGACGTGAAAACCTGCTCGTTTTAAGGCTATATAAGGGTAACGTTTCTCATTAACAGTCATATATCGTTAACGTCATACGTATAACAAGGTGTGAGTTATAGAAATAAGCTAATGTACATAAATAAGACTCGTTAGTTTGCCTACTTTAGAGTAGTGGTTGGTATTTAACACAGAAAACACCCTAAAAACTTAATGCCATGTCAGTTCCCCCCGCTTTATTCTACATATAGCAAGATGTTTTGTAAAAAAAAAAAATAATTAAAAAAATAAACATTATGTTTACCGTGCTGTCTCGGTTTAGATGAAAAACGTCCACCCAGGTGTTGTAAATCAGCAGCAGTTTTCACTTCTATGGTTTTTTGTTTTTTTCACGTTCATGAAGTGACTTCAAAGAAAGTCCGTGTTACCGCTGACATAAAAAGACAGTCGTTCTAATTTGAGCATCGTCTTGTGTCCCACAGTAACTTCTGTGTAAGCTGTACAATATCACAGTAATTGCAATAACTACAGTGCAGTAAGTAGTAATAATTGTGTGTTAGCCTCCAGTTAAGAGCAGTATGAGTAAGGAACTGTCTCTAAGTCAGTCAGCTCAATATGTTGGGCCCTATCGACTGGAAAAGACTCTGGGGAAGGGACAGACAGGTGAGTATTGCCGAGGTGTTCCTGAAATTAAAACTAGTGTTTTGTGTAGTGTTTAAACTGTGCGCTTTTATTCTACCCCCACCCGCCACCCTTCTTGTGTTTTATAATGATCTCTCTCATCCAATCTACAGGACTTGTCAAACTGGGGATCCACTGTATTACGGGTCAGAAGGTAGCCATCAAAATAGTCAACAGAGAGAAGCTGTCTGAGTCAGTCCTGATGAAGGTACAGTCTGACGCTGTTGAAGGCGTTGCTCACAGTGACGTTAATGATGACACTTATATGTATATACATATACATATATATGTATATATATATATATATATAGCATGGTGTTTTAAGATGTTGACAAAATGTCCCATATTCACTATATTTATCGTCTGTATGAGTTAACAGTTAACCTCCGTTCAGATGTGTGAAAAACAACTCGCTCATGAGCCTCGCTTCAAAATCTTTCTCTCTCTATGCTTTCCCTTCTTTCTAACCAGGTTGAAAGGGAGATTGCCATTCTGAAACTGATTGAGCATCCGCATGTATTGAAGCTGCATGATGTTTACGAGAATAACAAATATCTGTGAGTTCCCTCTGCATTCAGAAAAAGCCTTTCTCTTTGGCTCAATGCAGTCTGCATGCTTTCTAGCTGCATACTAATCTTTGGAGTGGGATGAGTATAAATATTTCAAGAAAAGCTGTAATAATCTGCTGTCGTTACTGTAATTCTCACTTTTCCTTCATCCCCTACTTTTATTCTCAAAAGTCTGTCTTAATGAGGAGTATGTCTCAAATCTATTAATACCCTTACAAAACAACTGTTGGAGTAGACAGATGGGTTGTCCGAAAGTGAGTACAGTCTGAATATTGTAGTCCTAGTATCCAACATTATAAGCTTATTATATCAAACCATGGGAAGTGTCTAAGTTTAAATAGTTTTTTCTTAGCATCTTGTCTGCTTTTCACTACTTGCACCACTTTTCCACCAACGTGGTGCCAAACTAAGAACCTGTTTCCCACATTTTCACCAAAAGTGCAAACACTGATATCCTTTTCTGCGGGATGGGCCTTTAATTCTCTTCCTGTAGAAACTACATCAAACTTTTGCAGTGTTCGGTTCGGTCAAAAAAGTCGGTTGGTCCTCTAAAAGCACCAGGGCAGAACTGGCTCTGCGCTTGGTCCGGCACCACGTCAGTGGAAAAGCGTTATCAGGATCATAAGTTCAAATTACACTGTTGTCCCTGTTTGTGGACAGGTACCTGGTGTTAGAGCATGTGTCAGGAGGAGAGCTTTTTGACTACCTGGTAAAGAAGGGCCGGCTAACTCCGAAAGAGGCCAGGAAGTTCTTCAGGCAGATCATCTCTGCTTTGGATTTCTGCCACAGTCATTCCATCTGGTTGGTTTTTTGCACCGAGCTGTAATAACCGTGTTTGAGTCAAGTTCATATGTAGGATGTTGATTTAGGACTCATCTACTGACTTACAAAGCTATTTTGAGCGTTTCTTTTTAAACAATAAAACAGCTGTTGTCTGATGTACTAAATGAGTGAAACACATTATGATTGTGCAAACACATTTTCAGAGTCATGCAGTTGTATTTGATTTAAAGCACCATGTTGACAACAACTCTAACAGTATTGGTTGTATGTGTGCAGTCACAGAGACCTGAAGCCTGAGAACTTGCTCCTGGATGAAAAGAACAACATTCGTATTGCTGACTTTGGCATGGCCTCCCTGCAGGTGGGAGACAGTCTGTTAGAAACCAGCTGTGGGTGAGTATCAACTCTGTGTGTGAGCTTCATGAATGATGATGTACATACATAAACAGGGTTATATAATTCAACAACTTGCAGTATGACTCTGTACATTTTAAAGGCTCCACGTCAGCAGAAAAATACAGCGTCTACAACACAGATCTATGACTTCTTTTATACAGTGCTCATTTTACTTTCACTAATATTAATGGCAAACCTTTTCTGATTTTAGATCACCACATTACGCTTGCCCTGAGGTTATACGGGTAAGTATCCGGCTCTTATTCTCTGTATTCTCAAATGTTCTTGTTTGAAATGTAAATAAAAAAATTTTTTTGTAGAGAGATAAATCGCTCCAAAGGTACATGATCTAAACCAGGGATGTCAAACCCATTTTACACTGTGGGACATGTACAGTCCACTTTGATCTTAAGTGTGTTTGATCAGTTAAACTCTGCTTTCTGAGAGTGTAAAGAAGTTAAATCACACATTTAATCTCAGAGATATTTTGATATTTAAAAACGAAGTGCAATTTCAACAATACAGTTTTTCTGCATGCTAAAGAAATGCTGTGTTGGGCTTAAATTGTAAGAAGTAAATATATAAAATTACAGAAAGAGTTCTGTTAGTTTATTACTCAGTCTGTGATTATGAACATTTTTGTTATTTGACAGAGCATCCTGTTTTTTTTTTAAATGGTGAACCCTATGTAAAAATTGTACATTTCTATAGTAGACAGTGAAAAAACAGGAATTTTCTGTCATTTAATTGTTTATCTTTTACTTATTTACTTTGGTGTAGTATGAATGGTTTTTCAAAAAGCTGTTAAAAGTTTGAAAATACAATAAAAAGTCAAATTTATGCCCCACATTTTCCATAGCTCTCCAGTGGGCCTGATTGGCGTCTTTGGCTGGCCAATTCTGGCGGCCGAGCCTTATGTTTGACACCCCTGATGAAAACTAACCAGTAACATGACACTTTTAATGTTAAGTTCAGTCTGTCTCTTGAGTTGTTTTTCTGAACCTTTTAGCATGAGTAAATCTTTAGGACACTCAGCATTTAAAAGATTATCCAGTGTTGTCGATTCAAATCTGGCTTCATGGTATTTTTAGACTGAGTTTGACTAAATGGATTTTAGTGTTCCTTTCAGTGTTTTTCATCCTGAAATCAGCCTAAATCATCCTGTGACGGGTGCCAAGTTTTGTGAATCACTTTTGTATTGAAATGGCCGGCGATGAATAAAATCATAAGTGTTTGTGTGTTTGCAGGGGGAGAAGTATGATGGGCGGAGAGCAGATGTGTGGAGCTGTGGGGTCATTCTGTTTGCCCTACTGGTGGTAAGTCTTTTACATGTGTTTTCACAGTGCACTTTGGTCTTTTTTAAAATCCCCTCATCTTATGTTTTTTGCAGTTTTTTCTTACATCCCACGCTTGCCAGTGTTTTTTTTTTTTTAATGCAATCTATTTTTTTGTTCCTTTCTTGTTTTTGTCTCTCTCTCTCTCTCTCTCTCTGCCCTACAGGGGGCCCTTCCTTTTGACCACGACAATTTACGCCAGCTCCTGGAAAAGGTAAAGAGCGGGGTGTTCCACATGCCTCACTTCATCCCCCCGGACTGTCAGTCCCTGCTGAAGGGAATGATTGAGGTCAACCCTGAAAAGAGGCTCACGGTATGAGACTGCTCACATTAGTCCAGACCTCAGATGCAGCATGCATTTACACCTGTTTTCAGTCACCCGCCTTAAACTGGGATTGCCTCTCCTTCTGTAAGATAAAATATATGTTTAATGGGACTCTTGCTTTTGGTACAAATAATTTTTGTCTCGATTCACTTTTAGATTATCCTTCTTGCCTTTCCTATTATCCTTTTTTGCTGGATCTGCACTCTAGCTGATATTTATGTGTGGCACAGTTGCATTTTGTATGTGTTTTATTGGCGCATCCATTGCAATACTGTACAGTCAGGAAGATGCATCGTAGTGGCAGCTGTTAAAGCATGTTTTGGGGACTTAACTGAGTCATCTAGAACTTGCTCAGTAATATTTCTAACACACACACACACAAGTGATTTTCTGATTAAACTTTCAAAAGCAAACATTGCAGAGTTGAAAATGTTTTTTATGATCCAGTTTAATGGGTAATATTCTGCAATCGTGAGATTTGTGGATGTATAAAAAAAAAAAAAAAAGTGATGTGAACTGTTTACACAGCACAGCTCTGTGGCCATCTGGCTGTTAACAGACTGTAGACACTAATGGCCCCATCTGCCCTGTCACCCCTTATAGCTAGAGGCCATCCAGAAACATTCCTGGTATCTGTGAGTATACATTCGTTTTCTCATACGTGACTGCTGAAGTGATCGTATTTAATCATGTACAGTACATCTGTGTCGTTCCTATGTGCTTCATTTTGTTTGACTCCTACTAGGGGTGGTCGTAACGAGCCGTGTCCTGAGCAGCCTCCTCCAAGGCGGGTTTGTGTGAGGCGAATCTTGTCCCTGACTGAGCTGGACCCAGATGTGCTGGATAGCATGCACTCGCTCGGTTGTTTCCGAGACAGAGTCAAGCTCACACGTGACTTGCAGTGTGAGGAGTAAGTCATTTCTTTCAGCTTCCAAACACGTTTGTGGTTTCTAGCGTCAGCTTGAAATGGCTGGAAAAATCAGAACATTTGTGGCATATAATATGCAATGCAGTCACAAGCATGTAATATTTCTTTCAGTGTATATTTTGCTTTTGCTGTTGCGGATTTTTTGTTGTTGTATTTTTTTCTCCTTTTAACACTCAGCCAGCATATTTGACGTTATGCAACCGATTAATATTGGCCACAAACATCCTATCTTGTCTTATTTGCCTATATAGTGTTGACTTAGAGGAAGGAGTATGTGGCTTATTTTTAGCTCTTTTCCCATTGGTGTGATCAGTTAAATAAACTGATTGTGTCATGAAATCCATGTCTGCGTGACCGTGTGAACAGCCTACTAAAAGCTAATCGCGTGGCTGTGTGGCATCCATACAGATTTCCTTTTTAAATAAATATTATGACATTTTAGCATCTCATTCAATCTGTATTTTTCTCCCACCCCCCAACAGAGAAAACCAGGAGAAAATGATCTATTACCTTCTGCTAGACAGGAAAGAGCGGTACCCCAGCTATGAGGATGAGGACTTACCTCCGCGCAATGATGTAGGTCAGTCTTTAGGGGGCAGGAGGGATCCACTCAAGAGAGGACGCTACAGTTATCGGTCTGAGACACATTTTACCGACTTTTTCAAGAGCGGTGTTCCTGTATGCTCAGTTCTCCTTCCAGTGAATTAGGGATTACTTGAGGTTATGATTTAAACACTATTAAGTTAGAATTTTATTACTTGATGCACTGACTGCACTGACTAGCATTATCATTAGAGATATACAGCAGTATGGCCCTTAATGTCCTTGTGTTGGAGTTTTAGTGTGTTTACCTGTTTCTTTAATACTATAAGTTGTCGCTGGCTTTTACCATGATTATACCAGCCTTTGCAGGACATCTGCAAGCTTTGTCTATGAGATAAAACTGGAAGGGACAGCAATTCTGTAAATGCAAATGAAGCTAAGTTTATCACAGTCACAGATGGCGCAGTGAGCAAAAGGCCTGTGAAAGAATTTTTCAGAAGAAATTCCTGAAGTGCGAAACACAGCACAAAGCTTAAAATTAAAACAAAATTTGTAACGAGTTTATGGTGGCGTTTCTCAGCAGACCCTCCTCGAAAGCGCGTCGACTCCCCTATGCTGACGCGCCACGGCCGTTGCCGTCCCGAAAGGAAGAGCCTGGAGGTCCTGAGTGTCACCGAGCAAGGGTCTCCTACACCACCTCGCAGGGCCCTGGACACAGCTGCACACAGCCAGAGGTATAGCATGTTTTTCTTACACATATATAGTACATACACTCTGTATTCTGCAGAATTAGAGCGCAAGAATTCATTATCATACAGTTTTTGTTTTGGGTTTTTTTTTCTTGGGGGGGGGGGTTAACAGCCTATTAATCTTTGGGTCTCTTTGTCAGGTCTCGCTCAGTCAGTGGAGCGTCAACCGGTCTCTCCTCCAGCCCTCTCAGTAGTCCCAGGGTAAGGTTCTGTAAACCGACTTGTTCATACTTTTACTACATTATCTTTGAACACTATACCTGGATCCATAATAAAATGCTAATTTCTGGTAGTCTGCATTTATATTATTTAACTCCTGTCAGCATTATAGCTTTAAGTCCAGTCTCATATTTGTGTCCTGCAGTTCAGACAGCTGTCAGTGTCAGCAGGGTACTGTGTACATTTTAGCCTCATTGGGCAATAACAGCTCTGTAAACCAACAGTGGAAATGACTTCAGAGATAATGTTGACAGACTAGGTAGTAATTTAGTTTACCTCAATTCAGTATTACTCCTTTGCCAACTATTGATTCAGTATGTAATAATGCGTTTTTTTTTGCTGATGTCAGTCTCTACATGAAGCTGCTTTAAAAAAAACAAATATTCACTCCTCGCAACTCCCTAAAATATCTTCTCAGTCATTTTTACACATCATCACAACACAGGTCCCTTAAATGAATTGTCTCACCCAACAGGAGGCTTGCATTTGTTTTCTGTCTTCATGTCACTTTTCTTCCTCCTCATGCATGAGCTAGTTTTTTATATGATAATTTGAACAATTTGACAGCTTAATTAGATGCTTTATTGGATAATTAATGGTTTGATTGTGCTTGAAAGTGTATAAAAACAGTCCCTAAAGGGTAAAAAAAAAATACCTTAATTGGCAGCAATTACTCTATAGTAACACCTTCACTGCCACTGTCCTGTGTCACTGCATTCTTAACCCTGCCACAACTGTCACGAAACCCTCACTTTCAATAGATTTAAAGGGCGCGTACTAAAGACTGAAATGCACTAAATGAAAGACTTTATGATCGGCACTGAGAACTGCATTCGGCACTTTCACTCCTCACAAGATGCACTCTTCTGTCATTAAGCATGATATTCATTTCCATCCTTTCTCCATTTTCCATCCCTTCTCTTTCTTGTTTTCCATGTCTCCCACCCCCTCACCCTGACAAACCCCCACCCCCCAGTCCTATCAGAGCCCCGTCTTCACTTTCAGCCAATCAGATGTCACCTCTGCCACCGCTTCCCCACTCACAAAGGAGTCCAAACAGGGAAGCACCACCACTCCTCGCTCAGCACGGGCTCATGACAAGCCCAAAGCTCCCCCAAACCCAAAGACCCAGACCTTGCCCACCAAGGGACCCGCCAACCGACCCCACCTACAGCCCATCAAATCCTTGCCTCTGCAAAATCCATCCTCCCGCTCGCCCTCCCCTTCCCCACTCCTGTCACCCATCCCCCGTTTCTTCTTCCCTTCCTCTTCTGTCCTAAAGTCAGTGACTAAGAGCTTCTACCCAAACTCTGCCCACTCTGTGCCGCAGGTCACTCCCCAGGGCTCTCCGTTGCCCACACCCTTGGGCACCCCTGTTCACCACCCTCACCACCCCTCCTCCACCCCGCCCTCCTCTTCCTCGTCCTCATCCTCCTCGCGGGCGGAGGGAGGGGGAGGGGTGGGCTCACTGTCGCTGACCCCACCCTCCAGTCCAGGAGGGGGGAGCGGCATGGCAGCCAGCAGCTCTGCCCATTGGAGGACTCGCCTCAATTCTTTCAAGAACAACCTCCTGGGCTCACCAAGATTCCATCGGCGTAAATTGCAAGGTCAGTCCTGCATGTTTGCTGTCATATTTTGTGGGAGTTATGCTTTTAGTGTTAAGGATTATAGCTTCAGAAGATTTCATTACTTCTAATACACTGATTTCCTTTTTCAGCTTTCATCTCTGTAATCGCTGAGGATTATCTATAAGTTTTTCCTTTTGCTCCATTCTGTCAAATGTCGATTGCGGAATTTTTGTGTGTGCTTCGTCTCTCTCACAGTTCCTACATCAGAGGATATGTCCAGCCTAACACCAGAATCCAGCCCTGAGTGAGTCCCAGCTCCTGGAGATAAATATTTGTTGAGGTGTCGTATTTTCACGGTATAAAGCCGTTTGTTTACGCTGTCTGTGTCTCCTCATGCTGTGTATTTCTTTTGTCTGGCTACCAGGCTAGCTAAGAAATCGTGGTTTGGGAATTTCATCGGCTTGGAGAAAGAGGAGCAGATCTTCGTGGTGATCAGAGACAAACCGCTGAGCTCTGTTAAAGCTGACATTGTCCACGCCTTCCTGTCTGTGAGTGTCTGACTTGGACTGTCCTTCACTGCTCTCGCGATCAAAGCATGGCTCTGGCTGGATCTGACTTGTGCTCTCATACTGTACACACTCCATTTCTCTCATTATTTCAGTTTTCTCTTTATTTAATCTTTATTTGATCTTGCTCACTCGTGGCATGTAGATGGATCACTTTGCTTTCACCAATGGCTCACTCTTTCTCTCTCCTCTCCTCACCCTCACCCTTTGTCTCCCTATACTCACGTCGGTCCCCATACCTCTCCCGCCTCGTAAGTCTGTCGGTCTCTCTGCTTCTTCTCTGTCGCCCCACCACACAGATCCCATCCCTCAGTCACAGCGTCCTCTCACAGACCAGCTTCCGAGCCGAATACAAATCCTCCGGCGGTCCCTCCGTCTTCCAGAAGCCCGTCAAGTTCCAGGTGGACATTGCCTTTTCCGAGGGCGAGAGGGAGCGGGACAGGGAGAGAAACGAGAGGGAGGGCAGGAGGGAGACAGGAATTTACAGCGTGACATTCACCCTCATATCAGGCAAGTAAAGCAGATGCTAAAATTAGCTAATGGTGGAATGAAATGTTAAACATTTTGACAAAACTGTGTCGCTCCCTGAAAAAATCTCAATTTTTGCAAATCTGCTCAACAGCTTTCTGCTTTGGAAAGTTATATGAACAAATCAATAATACTCTTGTCAGCAAGTAAAGCTATAGCAAGATGAGGTTTAATAAGTAAAGGGGTTTAAGAGGTTTAATAAGTAAACCTTATAGTAAAATACTCAACATTTCCTGAGATGTTTATGTTTTTGAGCAGTATTTTTAAGTTGAAACTGGGTTCAACTTGGTTTGTTTTTACCAAATTGAGGGTTTTTCTCTGAAAATAACTTTGGATGTATAAAAAAAATCAGGTGACGTTAAGATCATATTATTTTGGAACAGTACCTACCCTAAGTTAAATGTGTGTGACTCCTCTTCAGGTCCGAGTCGCAGGTTCAGACGGGTGGTGGAAACGATTCAAGCGCAGCTTCTCAGCTCCCATGATCACCCACTGGTGTCAGCCCTATCTGGTAAGATTGCTTAACCACACAATAGTTTTCCTCACACTGCTGTAGAAATTCACCCTGTTTAAATTTTAGTCTTTGAGCTGATTTCTAGATCTATATTTGTTCTTGGAGCTGACTATAATAGCTTTGCATGATTCACAGTTCCTAGACTATAGTGAGCGAAGCATAGGGTGGAAGATTAGCTGCCACCTTAATCACCTTAATTCACACCTGCATTTCTGCCACTGACCCGTGAAGCCTGTGGATTGTAAACATTCAGAGTGACTTTCCCGTTCTCTTCTCTTGATCCCTTCCCAGATGAGAAGAACAGTCGGCCCCACGGGACCCCCACCCGCCAAAACTCGAGGCGCTCCGAGGGTGGGGGCGACAGGTGCGAGTGGGGTGACCGAGCAGATGGCGGAGGCATAGGAGGCAGCGGGGGAGTTCTGCAGCGCAGAGGCTCCGCCAAAGAGAGAACCCGACTGCTGTCCTCCAACGGAACCCAATCCCAACCGTAGGATAGAAAGTTAGACTGCGCAGCAGGATGCCTGAACTACACCAGAAAGAAGACAGTGTAATTTCATCTCCAAGTATCCCTGCAAGCCATGAGCTACTCCTATTCTTCCTTGTCTAAGTTACTGAAGGTGCTTGACCACAGAGCAAGGATTGAGCCTTTTTCCTCCCCATCATGCACATTTTTTCCAACTCGAGATTCTACCGATCTTATGATTACCAGGATTCCTACCCTTAAATGAGAAACAAGTGTTAACAAACCGCCCTTTAATGAAAAAAAATAATAACAATACGTGAATGAGCAGTTTGGTATTCATCATAGGTACAGCTTCACAGATCAAACTAGGAATTTTGAAGTGCTAATGTGCATGCCAGTTAGCGAATCAGCCTGTTCAAGGATGCTGATATGATCAGATAGGCTAGTCTACCATATCATCGTATTACAGTATCCAACACCAAAAAAAAGGAAAAAAAGAAATAACAGTCTTGTGATGGTTCTCGAGATTACTCCTAAAATGAATCAGTGCGCTCATATCACTATCAAGCAACATCTAAACCCGCCCACTAAAAAGAAATATGAATGCATCTCAGCAGAAGAATCCTAAAGAGTTAGCACCCTGCTGCCGCCCCAGTGAGTGGCGATGAGCTCAGTGAAGGTCCTGTTTTTCTCCAGCAGTGTCTCCTCCTAAGGTAAAGAAAACCAACAAAGTAAGCTAAGTAAGTGAATGTGAACAAAAAAAGATATTTTTTTATTTAGTTTTTATTTATGTTTACACATTTCTTTTAAGGATGTCAGTAGCACAGTGATCACAGTAAAGACAGCAACTGAGACACTCCACACAGTGTTTGACAGTGGAAGCTGCTTTTCCGACAGGCATTCATTCAGAGTTAAGTGTTTCGATTCTTTTATATTTGCTTTTTACTCAGAGACAATATGAAACAATGCTTCTAAGATTTTTGCATTGGACCCTCGTTGCTCTGAAGAAAAGTGTTTGAACAGAAATATGAACAGTAATATATGAAAGCTTTGTTTTGTCGTCACTATCCGTGATTAGCTTCATGAACCTCATCACAGCTGTTTGCGCCCAGATTGAATGAGAAGAGCATCACCGGCCTGTGGATCAAACAGAAACCGCCTTTCTCGTCAAGCTTTGTCTCCTGTTGCCATAGTATTCATATACTGACTCATGTCAAAATAAAGCAAACAAACAAACAAAAAAAGAAGATACACAGTAAGGAAATTCATCAATGGGACGCATTCATGATGCTGGACTTTAAAAAAGGTGTCAGCTTCTTGTTGAACAGGACTTCCTAACCCCACGCTCGTTATTTCAGTGTTCACCGACAAGCCAAGTATCCATCGCCGCACCCTTGCTCATCACTAAGAGTCGCCATTCTGCAAGCAGACGTAGCAACTCAAGGCAGTCACATATATTACTCCAGTACTCTATCAGACTAGTCGATGTTCATCACAGTCTTCCATACAGTGCAATATGCAACAAGAGTGCAGAAGGATTTCAGAGAGACACACAGTGCTACACTTTATTATTTTAATGTCATTTTTTCTAATCTGTCGATTTTTCTGTCTGTTGTTTATTTATTTATTTATGGGGGGGTTTTGTCATGTATTTGTTTTATAAACTACATTTCATGCCAACAAAATGTGTCAATAACAAACCCAAGAAACCCGTTCCTGTTCCTGTTATTTACTCTTTTTTTCCGATAGCAGCAGTTGCTCTCATCTCACGTCCCCACTGAGCTTTTGTCTGTATCTTGCGTTTCTGTGACTCACACTGATCTCTGGTAACTGGTATCTGTGTGCGAGACGGGTGGGTGGCGACTGAATGAGAGTGGGCTGAGCACTTTGCAGCGGATGCGTTTTGAGGTAGTTACGTGTGGATTTTCCCGACTGACCCAGTGATTTTGAACTAACCAACACAGCCAAACCCTAACAGGCCTATGTTTTCTCTGTCACAAACACACATGAGCACATCAAATACTTGCTTGTTGGCTTTATCTCCTGTGTTAATGCCTTGTCCGTTTGACCTGTCTGTCCCGCTTCCTCACCTCTGTTTTGTTCCCATTGTCACAAGAAGAGAAACTGTATGGAGTTGTTTGCCTCACAGTCCTAAACACACTGATTGCTCACCTCATCTTTCACGTCACCTTCATTTTTCATTGACCCAACTCTGGCTAAGATTGTAAACTATTCTCCATCCATAAGGGTCAGTAGAATAAGGTGTTTAAAAAAAGAAATGTCTGTATCATAATTTAAATATAAAAAGTGCACTATTATAACTATTGCCTGTGATTAAAAAGAACAATTATGATTGAATTGATGGTCAAAATAAAGAGAGATCCACCTTATTGTTATGGTTACAGTAATAAACCCTAAATTCATATGTGTGTCTGTTTAGTTCCTGTGTAAAAAAAGAAAAGAAAAAGTGGCTTACTTTTAGGAAGCTTTTCCTTTCTTCATGACGGTTTGTCGTGACACACTGTCACACAAACGGGAAGTGTAATGTCTTATACAGTTTAAAGATTCTTGTAACCTTCTGAAGTTAGAATACTCAAGGCAAGTTTGATGGAGTTTATAATCACATTTTTTTTTTCAATTTAAGCAAACCTTCAGAAAAATCTGGTCAACTTGAATCAAGATTTTTCAGAAATATGTGTAAGAGACCTTAATTGCTTTGCTAAAATATAAAACAGAGAAAAACAAAACCTCTGTTTTATTCTCTTGTAGACACAAGGAAAGCTGTGCCACGTGATCCAAACTATCCACCCCTTAAAAACGTTAGCATTTCACAAAAACTCCTACTCTCGGCATTTTGTTTAAGAAGATTGGCATTGCCTCATCGCTCAGGTATTATGGGCGTTACTCTCAAAGCGTTGTCGTGAAATTTACCACAGTCCTCAAAGGCAACATCAGCTCATAAAGCGAGCATCAATGTAGTACACCCGCGAAGAGGAAGAGGCGGAGGGAGAGGTGGTTTTCCAGACCCTACTGTAGCGGTTACCGGGTGCTTGTGCGACGTCGAAAGTTAGCCGTCGGTTCCTGCTTCTCAGAGATTTCTGGAATTTTGACATCCGTTAGGAGTAACAGGTATGTTTAACAAGCTTTTGACGGCGCTTTTAGTGTGTTGCAAAGAGGAAACAAACGGTCGCATCTTTGTTAGCACTGTTAACATGCACCATCAGCAGCCGTTTGTATGTCCTCAACTCCATGAAGGGCTGGGTGCTCTGCTAGCGAGCACTAGCCACGGCTAACGTTAATTTTCAAACCTGCTGCACTTGGGCAAAACACTAGCTGGCTTTAACCGTCACCACTTGCCTTACTGTGGTTATAGCTAACAGGAACATAACGCTTTCAGAAATAATTTCGATAATTATTAAAAACGTACCATATATATATTTGTATTTTATTATTATTATTATTATTTTACTGTTACTGCTGTGAATTGGATTTTACTTTGTTTAAGCAGGACGTATCTTTTTTGTTATTGTTATTGTTATGGTTATTGAAATGTTATACATCTTTGATAACGCATTTATTTTCGGTTTCCGTATGCGCCAGATTGTTATCTCCACAGTTAATCGCTTTGTTGACATGTTATCTTAAACATATTTCGCATATCGGCGGCAGAGTGCACAGCTTGATGTTCCCATCCAGAGTTTGGGAATGAGCTGCTTCCATTCGTAAGTTTTCTGCCTGACATGTACACCTCTGCTTAGTCATATCTGGAAACCACAGTGGCTCAGGTGAACTTCGGGTCAATCTCAAGTGAGTTTATGATGTACAAGCGTATTAGACTGGTGATGTCGAAGTATGGGCCCTCACATTCCCTCTTTTGTGGAAGACTTTATAACAAAGTAATGCTACATATCTAGTTAGTCATGCTATATGACATCAAACAAATCTGAAAAAATAAGTTTAACAGCCGCCTTAAGTGTCACGGTCTTCTGTTCAGCATGCTTTTTCTGTAACTGTGAGCATCAATGTCATGGGATTTATCACAGATTTCAGCAGAAAGTCTGTACCAGTTTAATGTCTGTGACATAAAGCAACAGGGGAAAAAAAATCATTGGTACCCTTCATGCTTTAGCTGCATTATCTGTATTATATAGTTTACTGGACTAAACATCAAAAAGTGTATTCTGGGCAGATGTTTTAAAGGTACCATTTTTACCTACATTTTGATATCAAATGTTAACTGGCTTTATTGAATATACCACAGCTATTGTACAAAAAAGGAGCTGAATCTGAGGGGCTCAAGTGGAAGCGCAGGTTGATTTTTCGTGGATTGAGTTGTAGATCCCATCAAAGCATTGTGGAGTCTAATGAAGTCATTTAAAAAAGGATCTTGGCTTGGAATGTCAGGCTTATAAGAGACCAGTGTTTTCACAACAAGAAGCTCTTAGTTTTATGAAATAAATTTTCATTGCATTTTTTGCTATTCAAACCTGCACTGTGCATATCTGTCTGACATCACGTCTGAAAATTGTTGTTAAGCTGGATTACTTCAGTCTGTTTAACAATACCAGATTTTACATTACATTACAGACCTTTAATTTTTAATATCTGTCCAAATGAAAACATGGGCAAGTGAGAAGAGCCAGCACATAAGCTTGGCTGATGGGCCCAATGGTCGGTTGTTGATGTTCTGCAGGATATTTGTGTGCAATAACACAGAAGATACAGTGCTTCACATTTTCAGTTAAAGTGTTTTTGATTTCCTGAACAATGTGCACATAATGATTACACTTTCAGTTCTTGTAGTCACTATACACATTCACCAAGGTTAAAGCCAACATGATTATACACTAAACACATGTACTGAAGTTAAACCCAATATGGCATGGTGTCATGTTCACCAGAGTTGTGTAATGCACAGGGTTTGTGTTTTGTTTTTTTTTTTGTTTTGTTTTTTTCTTCTTGTTACTCGTCATACAGACAGGAAATGTTAAGTCGAGATAAGCTGAGCTTGTAGAAACACCAAGAATCCAACGGCTCTTGATCTTTTCTTGAACCTCATAGCCGTTTTCTGAGCACAAGTGTGCCCCTGTGCACAAAAGTCATTCTCTCAAAGTTAATGAGCAACAACCTTTATTTTCACAACCCGAAACATGCGTCTCTGGTCTGGTGCAATGGGCATTCTTATGCTTAACCAACCTTAATGCAGTTTGCTTATACTTTGTTGTGGTGTAAATTCCTCAGTGGTGTTGGTGTTTACCTTTCACCTAGTTTTCACTAGCCCTGCCTAGTTCTTCTTTTTCTGTCTGATTTCATCTGCTGGCAGTGTTTGCCAGTTTTTTCTGGTTTAGTTCATAGATAAAGCAACTTATCTTATCACAGCTCATTATACCCCTTATCTGTTACTTGTATAAATTAAACGATATCTTTAAATTGATCAAAATGCTGTTGTTACGCTGTGTCAGCATCTGATAATAGGAATTAAAAGGATTAATACACACCTGAGTACACATTAAGCTCTCAAAAGTTTTAGTCTAGTCAGTGAGATATTGATATCAAATCTAGCGGGACCCGCATAAAAAGGCTCCCTCATGGCACGTGCCTCAGATATGACCTGAGCAGGTGTGCTGTGCCTCTGTTGTCCCTGACAAAAAGGAGCTGAAGTAAAACAGGTGCAGCTTTTTAGAGTACTGCAGATATTCCAGATATGACATAAAGCTCATCACCTCACTGGGGTCTAGTGATGGTGAGAAAATCATGTGTTTTGTATTAGAGATGCAGTAGGTGTAGCTTCCACAGGGATGCATTCCAGTGTGACAGTCACTGTACCTCAGGGCATTATCCATAGCCTTTTTTGTGGAGGAAAATCAATTCCCTTTGTGAAGAGAATCAGTAATTGCTTTAGAAATATCCAATAACATCAGCAGCCGGTCAGCACCTCCCCCATCAAACCTCAAATCAAGTTTCAAGCTCACTTTGCATTTGAAAGGAGTTATTTTGAACTTGTCTTTAAAAATCCTCAAATGCACATGATGGATGTGTTCAGCTTAGCATAAGTGTTCTGCTAACTCATTTTCAGTCTGATGAATCATCTTCACTTCATTCGCTACCACCTTCAGGGCCCAGCAGCTGCTGTAACCAAGTTACACATGAGAAATATCACAGTTCACGATGTGTAGAGGTTACTGCTGCAATCTGTTTTCCGTTTACTGGTTTAAGGGGGCCAGTTGATGTTAAAGAAAGCAGCAGTGGAGATGTTCCTTGTACATGTCCTGGTTGTTGTAATGTACCCCTGGATAGCTAAATCTCATAGCCAAGGACTTGTTAGCAGTTAATCTAATATTTATCTGGCAGATGCTTTAATTTGTTATTGCTACAAAGGGTAATGCCTCAATCAGGTCTTTTATGGTGATTTACATTTGCAACTCCTCACCTATGGGGTGTACTTTAAAGTAAAAGCAATAGCTTAGTAAGGTTTGTTGAGCCTGAAGCCGGAGGGTTCAGTGTCAAGGCCAGACCGCTTTGGTGATTTATGCTGAATTGCATGTGTTCAGAGTTGTGGATTAAAATGGGCTGTAAATGGAGTGGCTGTTACATGTAGTTGTTACACATTTTCATAACAAGTGAAGGATCAGATTGGTTGAATTCTGGGAGGAGACACAAATCCCTTTGGGGGATTGCGTCAGGGAAAGCATCCGGTGTAAAAATCTGCCAAATCAAACATGTGGAGCTGCCCACTGTGGTGACCCTAAAATTAGCTTTTATTCACTATGAGCGTAGATTCATGGAAATCCATTGAGCGGTACAGCAGTGATGCTGCAGTTCAGAGCTTTGCAGTAAAATAGTAAAATAATTATGTTTGTTTGCAAATTTGCCAAACTCTTTTCTTCCAGCGTCTCTCTTGCTTAACCTCATTTGTTGCAACAATGACGCTTTTTCCTGTGATAAAATTTTAATATAATTCTTCATGACCTCTTTCACATGAGTGAAGTGGAATCAGCTTGTCAATTGTATCAACTCCAAGTATGTTTACCAAGAAAAGTTCCAATACCACAAGTTGCCATTGCATTACAGAGCATAGAGGCCATATTTCAATTTAGTGGAGCAGAAATATGAATGCATGCCAGTGTAGGTCATGACCTTTATCTTAAAAAAAGAAAGTAGTAGAATGAGTCAGAAAGTTCACACTGTTGCTTTTTATTCAGTGCCCTCTGTTCATTCATAGTTCGGACTCATTCACACATTCACATAGTCAGCAGCACACTGATTGTGACGTGAATTTCTATCAGTGCGGTCGATCACAGCATCACATAAGATTGCTAGTTTATTAGTGTTTAAAGCTTTATACATACATATTTAAACAGTGATTACTACAGTAATGAACAGATGTTTTAACTGCCAGGTTATCAGTGGCTTAATGTCCACAAAGCTCAGTTATAATCAGGCACAGTTCCTCTCTAGGTAACAGATTAATGATAAAAGCATGTTATTATTATGTCCTTGTAAAACAGATATGTGCTTTGACGTTAGTCATATAATGATTAACAGTTCCTTCAGGCTCAGCAGGAGGGGACAACGTGTCAGGTAGCAGGTTTTTAAGCCTTTCTGGAATGGAAAAGCACAGAATTTGAATTTGCCCAAAGTTAACAGAATTTCGCCGATCCTGTTTATCTGGAAAACCTGTTAGATATTTAAACAGGTTTTTGTTCTTGTGTGCCTGTTTTAAAAGTTGGCACCTGGAATGTTGCATTCTTTCGCCTGATGTCTAATTTCGCCTGAGGTTGGTCATTTTCCACACGTGTTCTTGTTCTTGTGTCTAAACACTCGGTTCTCTGGCCTCTAGGGTGTCAGATGACTTTTCTAAATTGTTGGTTAAAGAAAACCTTTCCTCTCCTCTGCTCCATCTTTATTTCAGGTTCACTGTGCACAGTAATCATGGCAGAAGCCCACCAAGCCGTCGCTTTTCAATTCACCGTTACCCCAGATGGCATTGATCTGCAGCTGTCCCATCAGGCCCTCACTGAGATCTACCTCTCTGGCATGCGTTCATGGAAGAAGCGTATCGTCAGAATTAAGGTATCTTTGTTTGTGTTAAGCGGCATGTCCCTAAAACATTGTTGGCATCATTCTTCCTCTTTTCGTATTACAGTGGTTCCTTAACTCATTACAGTAGCACGTGCATCTGAGCTGCAGTTAAATGTCAGAGTGGCTTTCACCCTGTGGTTTTGTTTTCATTTTAGTCTCATTATGTTTGTCTTTGTATAACAGTTATTTTTAGTTTTGCTTTGAGCAGTTTTTTTTTTTTTATGTGGGTTTAATTGTCAGCGATGAACACAACACATTACTGCACACGCTTCAGAAGTGAGTGTTTGACTTTTTTTATTTTGTCTTCACTTTGATCACGCTCTTTCAGAGGCGCTATGAATAATTACTGAAGTTGTTTTGATGTGGTAGCATTTTACTGTTGGACACTCACCTTTTCGAGGCTTACATTTCCAGTTTAATTACTGGTAATATTTTTTATAAATCCAATGTGAAACCGAGCTGGATCTAATTTAGCCATTCATAGTTGAACATTTATCTAATCTGCACCTTAATTATAAGTGAATTTTTGTACAGCATGTCAGTGAAATGACTACAAAGAGAGAATAACATGTTTTTTCTCTCACTCTACCAGAACAGTGTGATAACAGGAGTGTATCCTGCTAGTCCGTCATCCTGGCTGTTTGTGGTCATCGCAATCCTGGCTACTATGTACACTCGCTCAGACCCTTCAATGGGACTCATAGCCAAGATACAGGAGCACCTGCCAGTCAGGTAACATACCTCATGACTCCTTTAACCCTCCTAAGACCCGAACTCAAACCCGAATTAATGAATGAATGTTTTCTTATTAGTTATTAAATAAACAGAATTAATACTTTAGTTTTACTGTGATTCAATAAAAATGCCAACCAGATATGACACACTTGCATAAGTTCCAAAAAGCTCTACATATGAGTGCAAATGTAATGTTTCTCTGGTTTTTGGTCAGATTGACAAAAAAAAAACCCACGTTTTTTTGTATGAGTTGTAATGGGTTCACTACAACTATAAGCACACTTTAAGGCAATGAGATTGTGTCTCCCTGCTAAACAGAGATCTATGTTTTTTTTCTTGTCTGTTTTCAATAAACAAAAATGCTTGTAATAAAAATATAGTTGGTGGAACCTGTAGCCTGAAGCTAAATCAACATGAATTTTCTTTTTTCTTTCTAGCCCGCTTTTGTCTTAAATATTAAACGTGTCCATCTTCTTTCTTCACTGCAGCATCTGAAGCTTTCGTACTGTCTTGTACTCGAGTCTTGTTCACTCATCTTCTTTTTGTCTCATTTTATTTCACACACACATCATTTCCAGCCAGTCGATGAGTACGCAGTGCCAGGCAGTGGTGTCAGCAGTGCTCTTCAGCACCATGCTTTGGCTAATGCTCATCTTCACTATGCGCCTGTGCCTCAAGCAGCTCCTCTCCTACCACCGCTGGATGTTCGAGCAGCATGGCAAGATGTCCACCACCACCAAAATCTGGGTGGTCAGTGCTTTTTCTTCAGTTTTTCCACTTCCCAGTGTGACATAACTACCTTCCACTGTCCATCTGGTTTTAGATCTCCTAAAATATCAGGTGTCCCTCTATCATACCAAGTTTATATGATATTTTTATGCATTAGAATAAAGCATTTTTATTTACAGCTTTGCTTTGAATCTAAGTTTAGAGGCCCTCATTATTTAGCATAGAAATTGAATGTTTATTTATTTTACACGGCATTTTTATCTTGTGAAATACTTGTGTAAATTACTGGATTCAAATCCAAACCAACTACTGTGAGTCATATAGGTGTGATGTGCATTCATATTTACAGTGCGTCTGTCCTTGTGTGTCTATGTCAGGCGCTGGTGCGCATCTTTTCTGGCAGAAAGCCACTGCTCTACAGCTATCAGGGTTCGCTGCCAAATCTCCCTGTGCCCACCATCAAGGACACAGTCAAGAGGGTGAGATGTCACATGAAGCAGAGGAAATGATAACATGCTGATCACTGACCATAAAACAGATGGTTCTTTTTATCACATTCATCATTTGTTTTCAGTTTTTTATTTTTGTTTTTTTTAGCTAGTTGAGAATTTAGTAAAAAAAACAAAAAAAAACAAGGTTTATATTAATCCACAATGAGCAAAGGAGGAATAGAAAAATAATTTTTGTATTGTATCGACAGAATTAGATATGTTTGTGCTCATATAACATTTTTTTTTATCACGTTACCTGTTTCATTTAGTACTTGGAATCAGTGCGTCCGCTGATGGATGATAAAGAGTATGAACGCATGACCAAGCTGGCCGCAGAGTTTGAGAGCAGCCTTGGTAACCGCCTGCAGTGGTACCTCAAACTCAAAGCTCTCTGGGCTTCAAACTATGTAAGTGGTTGGTCACAGTGATCTGGTAAGGTGTGGCCAAAGCAAAGCCATTAAGAGAACATTTCAAATTCCATTAACAATGTATATCTGTGGTCTGAATTATTTAGCTTGTGTGAATATGCAGTCACTTTTGCTTTCAGGTCAGTGACTGGTGGGAGGAATATGTCTACCTCCGGGGTCGAAGCCCTATCATGGTCAACAGTAACTACTATGGCATGGTAAGAAAGTGTTACTGCATTAAGTTTCTTGAAGATATTTCTGCTCTAAGAGACGATGACCCTAACTTTGGATTGAATAAAAGTTGGTATTTTGAGCAAGCCAATAGATTTTCATTTTTCTGCGCCATTAAACATATTAAAGGATAATAGCCAAGATCCGCACTACATAAAGTTTTTGCCAGGCCAGCATCGCTTTTTTGCATTGCTCAGGAATGAAAATACAGTGATGAGCGTTTAATCTCTAAAAATGAGTAACTGAATGAATATGAAGAATCTTTGTGCAAAAGACAAGATGTTTTTTACTCAGAGTTTTTTGTTCCTAGGTCCTGTGTACAAATCATATATAAGCAAACCTTGTCTGAATAGTCAAACAGTGGTGTAGAGAGCATTTGCAAAAATGCAGACAATAAAATCACTGACTGCCAAGGCTCTCTACGTTGTAAGGTAAAGACCCAACAATCAGACCATCCCTTATGAGCAAGTACTTGGAGACAGTGGGAGGAAAAAACTCGCTTTTAACAGGAAGAGATCTCCAGCAGAGCCAGGTTCATAGAGGGACAGCCAGAATTTTTTGCCATCACAAGTATTGCCCCCTGAAGACCATGTTGGTGTCACTGTTTTTAGAGAAATATGACGCGGGTACTTTCTCCACGTCATATTTCTCTGTGTTTTTAATTAGGGCATGGTGCCAGCAAATCAGTATTTCTAATGTAAACCTCTCCATAACCTCAAACCTGTCACCTTTAAATCCTAGATGTACTCAGGGATCATTTTGTCTGGATGATCCTTACTTTCTGTATCTGTTCATTTTCTCCGCAGGACTTCTTGTATGTGACTCCAACTCCCATCCAGGCAGCCAGGGCCGGCAACAGCATCCATTCGTTCTTCCTTTACCGCCGCAAACTCAACAAAGAAGAGCTCAAACCTGTGAGTTAAGCCACCAGTCCACCCCTGCTGCTACGTATATATGATAGCATTCATTTTTCTTATCTTCGTGCTATGGCAACAGATGGCTTGTTAACTGGATGTCTCATATTTTAATGTTATTTTTCAAACATCAGTGTATTATGTAATATGTAGAATAGAGTGGGCGCATGAGGCCATCAGTATGTGGTGTGTGTGTGTGTGTAGCATTAATTCTTTCATTCATCTATCCATCAGCGTTTATGTGCCTTGTATCTCCATGCATTTTATTATTTTTTTGTAAAGACATTTCCCTTATGTTATCATACCATACTCATCTTTTACCCCTTCCTTTTGTATCCTTTTCAATCTCTCTTTTACTTGCTTGATTTTTCTTTATTTACCTCCCTGTTTCCCTCTCACTCTTAAAAAAAAAAAAAAAATCCCCTCCTTTTCCCTGGTCCTACGTTTCTTCCATGGCTTTCTTCTGTTCTTCTCCACGTGCCCTCGCCTTCGTCTTCTCCTCTCCGTTTCCCAGAGTCGTATACCAGGCACTGTCATTCCTCTGTGTGCTGCTCAGTGTGAGAGGATATTCAACACCACACGCATTCCTGGAGAGGAGACGGGTAAAGAGACTGAGCAGCATGCACGCGTCAACAGCATCCACAGAAATGTCTGAATGTGAAGTCTGCTCCATTTTCAGACTTCATAGCAAGCATTGCTAACACACCTCCCCTTCAGCAATGATGAGGCATACTGAAGGTGTCTGAAGCCTCTGGAGTTTAAGCATGGGATAGAAAATTGTGTCAGTGTGTGTTTGTATGTTTGTGTGGTTCAAGTAAGGCGTCTCTGATTCACTGAGTCACAATGTCTCTGCTGAACAGCTCATCCTGTCATCTCTCATCAATCTCCTCTCGCCTGCTGGTTTCATCTCAGGTCTGTCTGGGTTTCTGGAGAGACGCTGTCTTAAACTAATGCCTTTTCCCCCCCTCCTGCCCACACATTTTGTTTTCTCATTTTTTTTTCCTTCTTCTCTTCCCAACACTTCCTTTCTATCAACCTTTGTTTCCTCTTCCTCCTTCTTCCCTATACTGTTCCTGGTCTGGTGCATACTTCTCTTATTCTACTCAGTGGTTGCTGAGGTCTGCAGTTCCTTGCTGTTCCTATCAGTTTGAGCGGATGTTTGACACTTGTCGAATCCCTGGAATACTAACAGGTAGTATTTATATTCTTACTCAACTGGCCCCACATTTTTTTAGATCTCTAAATGCCCCCCAAAAAAGTAAAAAGGAAAAAAAACTATTTAAAATTGACAAGAATTCTTGTTTCATATGCAATAGTTTGTGTTTGGGCATCATGATATATGACGATCACTCTGTCAGTCATTTCAAGTTACAGATCATAGTGTAAAGAAACCCAAATTTCATTCCTGCTTTTATTATTGCAATTGCACTCAAGCATGCAGGCTCAAATTTGACTACATTTTTTGCAGTTGTTCTCAGTCACAGCCTGGCTTAGGTTAGGTCATTGTAAACCTAATTAGTGAAGTTGTGCTTTGCCCTACACTTGGCATGAATTCAGTGAAGCCAGGTGTTCCAGTCATGTATGATAATGATGGTTTAGCTTTGCAGTCTTTTTACAACATCTTTTTAGATGCTCATGGCTACATCCTGATCATCTCACACCATGTGCATTCAGTTTGCATTGGACAAGACCTGAAATATTTAGAATGGTGTGCTGGGTTGTTGTGAATTCATCTATGTTACAGTGTTACTGGGGATTTTAGCTACACTGAAACCCTACGCCATAAACTTGATGTGTACCTCAACAAAGGTGTAACTATATATCACATTGACACAGGCAGCAACTATTGTTATTGGCCTGTTGAATGCTCCTGTGCATTTGTGGTGACTTTTTCACTGCAGTTTTCAAATTTATCAGTGAGAGAATAATCAACACCATCTCATTATAAGGACTCAGACTCCCTGGAGGAGATTGTTTAAACTATTGCAATGGAGGTGTAAAAAGAAGTAGAAAATATGAGGAGCAAATATGTTTTCCCACAGAAATAAGTGACGACAACAAAGAGAGAGGACCCACGAGGGGAAAAAAGCCCAGCATTTTTTTTTTGTTGCTGTTGGCTGGTACCGCATATAAAACACGGGACTACATGGTAATTAACACATAATGCACCAGCACAAGCATAATAAACCAAAATCTGATCAGGCCTTTAGACTACTTTGGAAAAAAAGAAAGGTTTAGAAAATGCATTTATTTTAGGGACACAAGACACCTTAACCTGTAAGTTAAGTCTGTCATCTTATGTATGTATTTCCCTGACATTGTGGGGTTTTTTACAGCACCTTCCCACCATCAACATTTTCATATCCCACCTCATTATCTTCACTAAATTCATCACTATTTTACACCACAGTATGTCCACTTTGTCTTTTACCATCTTCTTTCTTCTTTTCTATCCAAAGATACCGTCCAGCATTGGCAGGACAGCGACTACATTGTGGTTTACCACAGAGGGCGCTACTTTCGTCTCAGGGTGTACCAGGCAGGCAGACTTCTGTCTCCGAGGGAGATTGAATTCCAGATTCAGAGGATCCTAGATGACCCTTCACCTCCTTCCAAAGGGGAGGCCAAACTTGGGGCCTTGACTGCTGGAGACAGGTCAGTTTGATTGTTTACATTACCCGCAACATACACCACACTGTAATTCTAATGTAAATGTCTATAATCAATAGAGTTCCCTGGGCTAAGGCCAGGACCAAGTATTTCAGCAGCGGGATCAATAAACGCTCTTTGGATTGCATCGAGAAGGCCGCGTTCTTTGTGACACTAGATGACGAAGAGCAGGGCATGATGGGAGATGACCCAGCAGCCAGTTTAGACCGCTACGCCAAATCTCTGTTGCACGGGAAATGTTATGACAGGTACTTCTACACTAAAATATTCACTGTGTTATGAATTTGTCATCAAGTTATTGTTGCCCTGCTGTTGACTTGGTGGAGATTTTCCTGTAGTGATCTGTTATTATTGGTCGCCATGCAGGTGGTTTGACAAGTCCTTCACAGTTGTTTACTACAAGAACGGGAAAAATGGCATCAATGCAGAGCACTCCTGGGCTGATGCGCCGGTGCTGGCACACGTGTGGGAGGTAAGGAATACAAAAGAAAACTTGGAATGTTGTTATGTTGCTCTGAGTAGCTATAATTTTAGATGCGTTTGTGTGTTTCCAGTACACTCTGGCCACTGACAGCTTCCAGCTCGGTTACAACGCAGAAGGTCACTGTAAAGGAGACGTGGATCCATCCCTGCCCCGACCAGTGAAGCTCAGCTGGGAAATCCTTCCAGAAGTTAGTTCTGTGTTGAAATTTTTCCATTAAACATTTTCCTAAATGAAGCAAGCTATTGTCATAAAGACGGAAACAAGAAAGTACAAGAAATTCAGGGATAACATTATGATCACTGACAGGTGGAGTGAATAACACTGATTATCTCTTCATCATGACTCATGGCAATGAGAATGTGAACATTTTATCCTGTAAGATGATTTGTTAGAAGTACAAAAATGGGCAAGCATAAGGATTTCAGAGAGTTTGATAAGGGCCAAAATGTGCTAGCTAAGCGACTGGGTCAGAGCATCTCCAAAACTGCAGCTCTTATGGGGTTATAGATCATGCAGAGGTTATACATATCTCAGTTTTGACTGATGTTGTTTTTCACTGTGTGTGTGACAGTGTGAAGAGCAGATCGCTCAGTCTCTGGCTGTGGCCCAGGCGCTGGCTGATGATGTGGACTTCCATGTTTTCTCCTTCCAAGAATTTGGCAAAGGAAAAGTCAAGAAGTGTCGAGTCAGTCCAGACGGCTTTATTCAGATGGCTCTTCAATTGGCCTACTTCAGGGTGAGTGTTCCACTGAAGTCGAATGGCAGTGTTACCATCTGATACCTTACCTAAACATGTAAAACAATGATGAGCTTTAACATAAAGAGAACACATGCAGGTTTAAACGTTTGAGGTCAGACTGACATCTGTTCAAAAGTTTAACCTGTCTAAACAAAGCAGAGTTACATAACTCTGATGGTCCGCATCCACTCTTTAACTTGAGATGTTTAAAATTGAATCTAATATGTAATACATAATTAAAGGTTCCATGCACTGAAAATGAACTTTTATGAAGTTGTGATTTCAGTTTGAGGCAATGATTTAATTTAATGACCCCAAAACAGTCAAAGTGAGTTTGAACCAAACACCCAAAAAGGCTGAAACTTTCTTTGGAGACATGTGAGACTAGTGTTAATCAGTCTTCAAATGTCTGGTAGGATACGAGATTGACAACTTTATTTATTTTTATAGCACATTTCATTACATTAGAGCTCAAACACAGAAAGTGAACACATGGCATTTGAAACAATTGTACACTTTAATCAGTTGTTTGTTTTTTGCTGTGGTTGTTGTTTTGCATGGTTGCAGGAACGGGGGACTTTCTGTTTGACATATGAAGCCTCCATGACCCGTCTGTTCAGGGAGGGCAGGACTGAGACTGTTCGCTCCTGCACCAACGAGTCTAGCGCCTTCATCCGAGCGCTGGAGGGCGGAGAGGTGAGAGCATGAAAACCCTCTCCTGATTTGTTTTATAAAACCTAAACACAACACAGCCATGTCACTTCACCACGTCGTTCTCCACCAGGCAGCAGACGTGTGCAAACATTTGTTCCGAGTTGCCACAGAAAAGCACCAGCTACTTTACCGCTTGGCTATGACTGGAGCCGGCATTGACAGACATCTGTTCTGCCTCTACGTGGTGTCCAAATACCTCGGAGTGGAGTCTCCTTTCCTCAAAGAGGTTTGTTTCCATGTCGTGTTTTTGTCTAGTAGCGCTTACACTGAGTTGATGTTAGCAAACTGATGTGGTGGCTTGTGTGTGTTTCAGGTTCTGTCTGAGCCATGGAGGCTGTCCACAAGTCAGACTCCCATCCAGCAGGTGGAGCTGTTTGACATAGATAACCACCCGGAGTATGTCTCCTGTGGAGGAGGCTTTGGACCGGTCAGTACCACCTCCAGTGTTTCACAGACTTTAAATAATTGTTCTACAATTATTTATTTTATTCTATATAGTTCCTGCTGGATTAGTGGACAGATTACATGAATACAGATTCAAGGGACTGGTGATGATTCAAGTATTTTTGTGCCTTTCAGGTGGCCGATGATGGATATGGGGTGTCCTACTGCGTTTTGGGAGAGAACATGATTAACTTCCACATCTCGTGCAAACACTCATGTCCAGACACTGTGAGTTTAATGCTTTTGGTCAATTTGTAGTCAAATGTCTGTGTATTTTAGTACTTCATATGTAAATCTAGAATTGTGTTATGCTCCCTTATGCCTGTAGTTATTTACAGAAAGACATGGTTGTTCACTGCACAAGTAAACCTTTAAAATTCTTATATTTTGTCATGCAATGACTATTCTTACTATTATTCAGATTTTTAAAAAAGGCATAATATGACATTAATCTTTTATTGGCTCAATTTTGTTTCGTTTGCTTGTTTGTTTTTTAACGCTATGTTAATGCTTTTTCTCCTTCCTTCTCCTTATTCTGTGCTCTTCGTCTCTCCTTGAAGGACGCTCATAAGTTTGGTGATCAGATCAGACAAGCCCTCCGTGATCTGCTAAAGCTGCTGAGCCCAAGCCAAACAGAGGCCAGCAAAACGGAAGAGAGCCAACCTAAGGTCAAGAAAGATCAGTAGATATTCAAATCAGAAGACGTGATGCTGAAGGGAACATGTGCAGGCATTACAATATGAAGTGAAGAAAGGCGGGTTTTTATTCTTAATTTAGTCTGAGGCATTTATAGCCAGGTAGATGATATTCGTGAGACAGCTCCACTGGAAAATGATAACAACGGAGGTGATGTTTTTACTGATATGCATATGTTTGTGCGTTTATATTAGCTGTGCGATGGGTGCATGGAGCGAGAAAGGGTCCGCAGAGTTTGGTTTTAACAGTGAAACAACTTGAAATGTGCACGTGTAAATGAAAAGTACAGTGGGGCCAGTACACATCTCAGTGTTAGGATGGAAGATCCTAACTTCACCTTATTGCAGGGAGTAAATGAATGCAAATTTCTGCAGTGTGTTTTCGACACAAGTAAAGATAAAACTCCTCTGTTGTTGGATCTGTTTGGGAAAACGCTGTGGGATGTTAGTGTGAATTTTGGAGTATTGCCATGGGGAGAAAACATGATGGACTGTTGAGGTGACTTCATTTTCTACCATCTGAATGCAAAACTGCTGTAATGATGACACCAGGTATTTTAGAATCATGGAAGTCTGTGACTTCTCAGTGTTTACTCGATGTGTATAAATTGCTTTTTACATACACAACTGTAATGCTGTACTTAAAGCACCAGGCTGGTTATACATGTAGTGAAGATACATGGCTATTTTAAATTAATTAAATATATCCAGTGCCATATTTTTATTTTTTTCTTGGAGGCTTAGTTTGTATTCACTAAGTTTAACTTACAAAGTTAGCAGACATACAATCTAGTTATTCAACTGCTATAAATGTATTTTATATTTTTACTTTATTGTTACCACTGTTTAAAAGCACCATAACAATGCAAGTTGTATTTATGAACATGATGTGCAATTATTCAGTCCCACGCAGCGCTGCAGGTCAGACCTGGATTAGATGTAAAGTGTACCTGTGACACAGATTGATGTTTTTCTCCACTTACTGCTGCCTTCTTTGGTTTTTACTCCAGATCAGCTTCTCTTATTATGTTGTTCTCATGAGCCTTTTTAATGCAATATTACGAGGGGAAATAAAGATATTCTTAAAGAAAAAACTAGTGGGGTTTTTGTTTGGTGTTTGTTTTTGTTGCTTTGAAACATCTCTCCCCCAGTTTAGCAGATTGCTCATGAAGAAACCTGTTGGGTGTCTATATTTCTGTGCAACGCTCAACACCAGCGCTGACTTACTTGCCTCAACTGATATCACCAAGAAAATTTATGTTCAGGCTATTTTTCTCACAGACAGTGCTGTGAAAAAGTATCTGCCCTTTTCCTTTTCTTGCATGCTTCAGATCCTCAAACAAATTTTAATAGGCAAAGATAACCTGAGTAAATACAAAATGTAGTTTTTAAATGACGATTTGATTTATGGTGAGGAAAAAAGTCATTCAAACCTACCTGGCCCTATGTGAAAAGTAATCGCCGTATTTGTTTAATCATGAATTAACTGACCACATTTTATTTAGAAAACTGAGTTTAATTTCATTTACCACAAACAGATTTGAGTAGTGCCAGACCTGCTGAATCAAGAAATCACTGACAAAGTGAAGCAGGCTAAATGATCTCAATAAGCAAACATTGACATAGAGAACCACCCACAAACATTTTGCAGCAGGATAACATCCGAAACACACCAGCATGTCCATTTTTTCATGGTCTAGTCAAAGTCCAGACTTAAATCCGATTGAGATGCTTTGGCATGACCCTAAATGGGCCATTCATACTTGAGAACCCTCCACTATGACTCCTTGACTTTTAGGAGAGCTTTTAAAAGTTGAGTAAAGAACTGACCTTTAAAATAGCCTCACTCACAGCCAAGTCACTCAAGTCCAAGGATGACATCTTTTATGTTTATCATTGGCTTCACATTTCTGTTCGCAGTTGCTGATGCTTTTCTGCTTGATGTTGTACTGCTTCTTTTTTTGTTGTTGCAGAAGCTACACATAGAATCAAGTAAGCATGTGGTTTTTCTTATAAGTCTTCAAGTCATCTTTAGGACATCATTTTAAAATAACGAACACGCGGTAACTAACAAAGAAATGATGTATTTATCAATAGCTCTTTGCAAAGAATAGAAATGGTTTAAGGTAAGTACAACCTCTGTCCCAAAGTGCTTTGAGAGGAGGACTGCACAATAAACAGACTCCATCATTATTTGGTTGATCAGTGGCCCAGTATCTGAAGGAGCTGTTGCTCTGGTCTGACCATTTCCACTCATCTCTGAACAAACCGATCCAGACTGAGGACAGTGAGCCATTGTTATTGTCACTGATTATTTGCTGCAATGCCAGAGTTTCAGTGTCTCCCCTTGCACTGGCCAAGTCTTTATTCATCACTCGACAATCTTGTTGGGCGTCAGTCCAGCTTTTCTCTTGAAAAACAACATACAACCCAACGGAGCCAACGTCTGTGAATAATTTTTACACAGAAAAATCCGATTACATGTAGAAAACAACATATCACTGCTGGCTTTCATGCTGTTGGGTAACAATAAAGATGAATTTGAAAATATTTGCTGAACTTGAACTTGAGTGACACAACTTTTTGAAACTACGACAATGAAATAATGTTTGAGATCAACGTTGCTTTTTAAAATTTTGTGCTGTCTACTTAAACACTGACACTGATTATTCGAAGCACTATCTGAAGAGGTCAGAGGTCCAAAAAAGTGATATTTAGAATGTTGTCAATCCAATAATAACTGCAAGAAACACAGTCTTAAATACCTCTATGTAGCATTATTATCACTGTGATCTTCAGAATCTATTGACTTTAAATGAGAGGTCAGAGGTCAAATGGGAAATAATATTTTTAATCTTTTCATGTGTTAAGGACACACACCACACTTGTAAGAATTATTGTTTGTAAATTATAAGGCTTTTTGTTAATTTCCAACCAATAAATCTTTATATTGACCATGAAGGCCTTGGCAGATTTAATTCTGAAGTCTAAATTTACACATTCTGAATGTCTTTTGACAATTTATTAGTGTGAGCTAACACCAAGCTGCACCCAGATCACTCATTTCAATTGTTTTTTCTTACCTGATGGCCAGATCTTTCATAGCAAAAGATACAGTGCGCTTCTGCAGGTTGCTGCTTTTTGTCCTTCTGCCTTTCTGAAAGTCTATTTTTTTGTCCATTTCATAGTGTGTTGGTGTTTTTACTGATGGCCTATGGAATACATATTTGCATTTTTATAAACAAATTTAGCTGTGAGGAGCTGAGCAGGATGTTGTAAAGATCTAAATTGATAGATGCTATCACAGGTGCCAAAAACTTGATGTAACCAACACACTGTATTTCCATTGGGGGTTGAAATGATCTTGTTTTATTACCTCTCCTCTATCTGTCTGTGTTCCTGCCACTTGTCTTTCTGTCTCTCATTTCAGCAGTGAGGTCACTCACTGTCATCATAAACCTTAAAATGGGACTGACTGTAATGAGAGTATTCTTGATTGTTATTGCTTATTTTTTTTTTTTTTAAATTGTTATTTTATTTACTTATTTAATTTTTAACAGCGTGATAGTTTTCTTTTATTCTATGTGGGAGCAGCTGACGACCATGAAAACGCATTTCTTTGGGATTAAAAAAGTTTCATGATATGAAATGAGAGGTGTTTCTTTCTGGCTTCCTCCAGAGACGCTGATGTTTTAGTTTCTTCAGTCAGACTCCCTCAAATATTTCTTATAGATCCTCTCTTATAACACTGTCGCCATTTTCACTATTTTATCTTGAGTTACACATATTTTCTTATATAAAGAAAAGTGGCCAAAGCAGTATTCAGATTGCTGTATTTATGAAAATTATGAGAAATGATCCAGTGCTAGGCAGTGCTGGGATATGGATTAGATATTAATGTGTGATAATAGTAACACTTTCTTTCTCCACGTCTTACTGCTTTCTTTTGTTTTTACTCCAGAGCAGCTTCTCTTGTTATTTTGTTATAGCTGATGCAATATTATGAAGGGAAAAAAAAATATTTTTAATCATCATAGTATAATGATCGTAGCTTATGTATTTATGTTCCCTATTTGATCCCGGACCAATCTTGATGAAATTTTGAATAAACATTGTCTAGCGTGCTGTCAGTACCGACATCTATATGGCATATGCAAATATTTTATACAAATCCCAAAGACAAACAAAGTAATTCACTATGTTTCTTTATTATAATGTTTTCAGACAAAAGACAGCATGTGGAAAAAATAGTGAAAGTTCATGTCTACCCTTACAGGTTACAGAGTAATAAATCAACAGACTTTTAATGAGTATTTAATATATCACATATGCATATTATATTTGCCACATGCTTAAAAAAACCCTCCAAATGAAAGCATTCCAAATATGCTGTGAGCAGACTTTAAAAACAAACAGTAAAGCAAAGTCTCCCTTTGTCTCTATTCATTAACGCTAGGCTAGTTTTGTTTATTCTCTACATGCAAAATCGTGAGTAATTTTTCACTCCAGGAAAACTTCATGTCATATTCTAACAGGCATCCTTGATTTCCTTCTCCTCTTCCTTATGGAAAATTTTCCCATCAGGCTGGACTCTCCACCGAACCTTGGCATTCTGGTACTTTGATTGGATCTACGGAGGCATTCACATGAGCTAGTTACAGTGTGTTACGATTATAAGTGCCTGAATCCAGTAAAAGTGGCTTCTTGACTTATATCTGAGCTTTTAAAAAGACACATTAATGGAACATTTTAGAGTAGAGAACTGACCTGCTGCAGAATGGCATCACTCACACTGAAGTCATTTAAGTTCAAAGATGACTTAAATTCCACCTTAACAGTTCTGGTGTGTTTTGTTTCTTGATTGGCAGAACATTGACATAAAATTCACATGCATTTAATTTGTTAAATAAGCTGCCATGTTAAGAATGGCAGTAACTAAAAAGAACAGATACATTTGTTCTCTATAAAAATAAACAATGAGAAGTCAAAAAGGTACATGATACACAGTGGAATTATATTCTTACCCTCATAGCAGATGAAGGGTAGAGAGTAAGTACAGCCTCTGTCCATGAATCCTTTGAGAGATGGATTGTACAATGTACAGAGTCCATCATAATTTGGTTGACCACTGGCCCAGTGTCTGAAGGAGCTGTCGCTCTGGTCGGACCATTTCCAATCATCTCTGAACAAACCGATCCAGACTGAGGACAGCGCAGCGCTATTGATTATTTGCTGTAATGCCAGATTTTCCACCTGGCTCCTCGCACTGGCCAAGTCTTTGTTGTTCATGCGACAGTTCTGCTGGGCATATAGCCAGCTCGTCCCTTGAAAAACAACATACAACCCACTGGAACCAATATCTGTGAACATTTACAACAAGAAAGATTAAAATCTAAACAAAATCACTCAGAGAGCACAACTCTCCTCGAAGGGCAAGGGCTAAAACTTTGACATTTTATGATGATTTTATGACAACATGCTGACTTCTGACCTTTGATCTATGAACATGAATAATTACATAGTAACATAGTTTATTTTATTCGCATTCACATTTATGTGAAAGAGGAGCTGTGTGTATTTTGAATGATCTTTCCCATGAATGCACTGACCTTGGCATACATAAGGAAGCGTTGTTGTACAGGGTGTGCTGAACCATTTCCCATCATCCCTCATCCCTCCACAGTTGTCAGTGGAACTTGGTAAACTGCCCCAGTTAGTGTATTCAACTACTCCATCACCTATCTGAGTTTCTCCCACAGACCACAGCCAGGCTGGTGGGCCTGTTTGTGTTAGACCGATCCACATCTCTGCTGTCACACCACTGGCTGATACCATGTTCACCAGCCTCTGCATGTCATCCTGGCTGCCAATCGTGGCGAGGTCGGCATAATTGCTCCTGCAGTAACTCTGGGCATCAGCCCAGATTTTAGCCCCGTTTATCAGGTAGAACTCCCGATGAGTGGGAGAACACAGAGTAACATAGCCTGTACAGGTGCACCAACCAAACGTCAAACAAAGGAGGACTGCATCATCATAACACTGTTTAACTTCAGCATGAATGTTTCATCATAAGCAGTTAAGAAAATGGATTCATGAATGGATTTCATCACTTATGACACTTACCTGAAACTAGCAATAAAATCACTGTAAGGACCATATTTTCTCTAGGATGTAAATTAGAAAAAATCAGTTTGCATTTGTTAGCCTACTGAAGTGGTTAAAGAATTTTTAATTCAGTGGTAGTCCACTCAGTCTCAAACTTTTTAAAACCCATGAAACGGAAGCATTTCCTGCCTTACTTACTTTAATGTTACAATCACAAGTCTTTGAATGCACAGCCAGAGGATTTAACAAATGTGCCAAAACAAATGTATGCGACAACAAAATGAAATAAATCAACCAGTCATCAAAGAAGGTGACAATACTGCGTTCTAACATTTTGAGGGACTTTTTTCCCCTTTCAAAGCATAACTGGCGTCTTGTGCTTAATCAAATCAATATGGAAGTAATACAGATTTTTTGTTTTTAAGTTGTTTTTGTTGTTAGGTTTTGTGGATAGATTTACAGGCAGAAGTTTTAAGGACTTAAGGGCTTAAAGCAAATAAAAACGCGGACAGATGAGTCACTTTGGTAGCATCCACTTATTTTTTTAAATGTATTTCAAAGACACTTATTTTTCGGTTTTAAATGAATTGAAGCTATTTTATTGAATAAGTCAAAAATGTTTAAATGACAAATACTAAACTTTAAGAACAGAATTGTTTGTTGTTCTGGCAGACAACAAATTTGAAACTATTTTGGGAATCGTTTCATTACTTACATAATTACTCTTATGTCCTAACTATACTTGTACAGTATAGTTAGGAACCATAACCATAGCAAGAATTGGCAGTAACATGTTTAAGCTAGTGGCATGTACACATGCCTGTCTATAACTGCCCACGTCTGCATATCTACCCTGCTCCCTCTGATAAATCACCTAACTGAGCAGCCCCATTACATGGATACAATTACCAACCACACCTAGTAATGATGAAAAAGAGGTTTTAAACTTTGACAGTTAAAGATTTCTTTCTTTTGTATAAAAATCTTTGGCTTTTTCACTCTTGAAATGTTCAAATAGGATTAATATTACGGACAACCTGATACAGAAGAACACATAGACTGATTAGAGAATTACAACGAGACACAGATGAGAACAATCAAAGAATAAGCAGGAGGACAGAGACAATAAGTAGAACTAACAACAACAACAACAACAACAACAACAACAACAACAACAACAAAAATACACTACCGGTACCTTAGAAAGTAGAACAGGCACCAACACAAAGACTCAAATGTATTAACTAAGAATCCAAAACTGAGTCCAGCAGAAAATCCAGCAATCCTGAGACGATTCATATACAGATTTTTTCAAGGTCAAGTGACACTTTACATATAATTTAACTCTCCATAATTCTCAGAAACATTTAAATTACATTGATGCTTTAGCATTACTAATGTGTATGTGTTGACAACACCTAACATCATGACATGGCAGTTGCTGTCCACCCAGATGATCAACTCCCTTCTATATTTTTAGAAACAACTCTCTTCTTACCTGATGGGAAGATATTTTATTACAAAGGATTAAATGGACAAATAGGCAGTTGTTAATCCTACTTCATACTTCCACGTATCAGTGTTTTGTTTGTTAGCAAGTAGTCTTTGTATTTGTCTTTATGAAAATGAAGCAATGAAGCTTAGCAAAGATGCAAAAGAATATTTGCCTTCCTTAGGACAGGATGCTTATGCAATATGATTTTTAATATATATATATGTATATATAATTTTGCACAAAAAGTAAGGAATTTGTGTTTGGTCTATTATGTCTTTGTTGTATAATAGACCTGTCTTTGTTGTTGTTAAATCTTGTACAGTTGGAAAGCCATGCATTTGTGAGTTGAGCAGAAGAGTTGAGTATGTGGGTTGTGCCTATGAGTGTACATCTATGCCACATATGGACTACAAGTCCGCAAGTTCTGAAGGGAGACACGAGAAAAGGTGGTTGAGGCCAAGAGAGCACAATTTCCCCTGAAGTGCAAGGGCTGAAAATATAAAAATTGTGCTGTACAGTTCTCTCAATGCCTTTTCATATGATACATTGCTTGACATGGTTTCTTGAATTTTTTTTATCCTGTCTTCCTTCTCTCACCCCAACCGGCCTCCCTGAGCCTGGTTCTGCCGGAGGTTTCTTCCTGTTAAAAGCAAGGTTTTCCTTCCCACTTTCACCAAAGTGCTTGCTCATAGGGGGTCATATGATTGTTGGGTTTTTCTCTGTATGTATTATTGTAGGGTCTACCTTACAATATAAAGTGCCTTGAGGCGACTGTTGTTGTGAATTGGTGCTATATAAATAAAATTGAATTAAATCTTAAATTTGGACTCATCAAACCAAAGCACAGATTTCCACTGATCTAATGTTCATTCCTTGTGTTTCTTGGCCCAAGAAAGCTTGTTGCTTTTCCTTAGTAGTGGTTTCTTAGCAGATATTTGACCATAAAAGCCTGATTCGCACAATCTCTTCTGAACAGTTGATGTAGACATGTGCCTGGTACTGGAACTCTGTGTGGCATCTGTCTGGGCTCTAACCGGAGGTGCTGTTAACTTATATATATCTGAGGCTGGTGATTTGGATGAATGTATCCTCAGCAGAAGTGGTGGCTCCTGGTCTTCCTTTCCTTATGTGAACCAGTTTAATTGTAGCACTTGATGGTTTTTGCAACTACACTTAGGGATACATTCAAAGCAATTTTCCAGGCTGACTGACCTTCAGTTCTTGCTTAAAGTAATGATGGACTGCCGTTTCTCTTTACTTAGCTGATTGGTTCTTGCCATAATATGAATTGTAACAATTGTCAAATAGGACTTTCAGCTGTGTACCAACCTGACTTTTGAACAACACAACTGATAGTCCCAAGCCCATTAAGAAGGCGAGAAATTCCACAAATGTGTAGTGTAGTTTTTGATGATGCCACAGAGAGTACATAGAGAGGAACAACATAGAAAGCATGAAATTTAATGCTCTCTCTTAAACTGTTCTTCAGAATTAGGGATTTGTGTTAATAATCTTTATAAAAACCAAATGTAATCAACACACTTTATTTCCATTTTGGGACAAACTGTTTTTATTCATCTGAGCTCCTGCCACCTGTCTTTGTGTCTCCAATTTCAACAGTGAGGTCAGCATCAAACACTGTTCTCATTTTTTTTGCCTGTCAGACTTCAGCTTATGCCCTCAATACCCACTAATAGTCCACATTCAATCCCTGTTCCTTATTTTTAAATTATGACCCATATCCACATGTTTGTAGCATGTGAATATGGGTCATATTTGTGTATCGTGTAAGTTATTGGCATTACACGATCCCACTTCCTTTCTCATCTTAACCATCAAAACTAAATTTCATATCCTAATGCTGACCTACTTCTACCTAAGTTCACCACCAAAGCAATTCTGAATTCTCCAACAGTTGTTTTAAGGTTTGTCTGACAGCAAGAAGCTGCCAAAATGTCCTAAAATCTTCAAAATGACCTCAAGGTCTTAAGCTCAAACTGGTGCACAACAGAAAGCACTAAGTATTATGTTCATTACTTTAGAGAATTCCTGGCATAACATCCATCATGCACCAATAGTGAAACAATCAGAGACTGTGGAAATACATTTGTTTTCACCATATGAGTAATAACACACACACACACACACACACACACACACACACACACACACACACACACACACACACACACACACACACACACACACTCCTCCTCGTCGCCCAGAGGACCCCATATAAAGCTGTGTTTCCCCTGCACTTGTTACTGCTCTTCGTTTCAACATCAGTGTTGTTGTCTGCTGTTCAGGTATGTACTTTGACCTTTTCCTATGATATCTAAACTGACATTTAAATTATAGCACCATCCACATCCAAATAAGATAATCAGCTCGAGCTACAGTTTCCACTGAGCACATGCCCAACTTAGTATTGCTAAATTAACAGCTATGACTTTGATGATAAGACACTAAAAACTTTGCTCAGATTAGTGAGTTTGGATTTGGAAATGACTTATTTGTTATATTCAGTGTCTTTTCCGGTTATTTTGAGTGAAATATAAACACCCAGTGTGCAGCATTTGGTGTTTGGGATTTTCATGAAGTGAAAAAACTCAGTGGTTTATTCTTGATCAAAACAATTCTGTAATGTATTTAAATACTGGACCCACCAGTGTGTTAGTGGGTGATGATAAAGGTGTAACATTTCTCAGAATAAACATGCTCCAGTTTTTCTCGGTAACTCTGCTGGTCAATTAATGCAATAAAATCCTCCTGAAATCCTTCAGTCCTTTTGTCCATACCTGTTTATTTAGACTGACACAGTCATATCTTAAAATCCTTGCTAAAATTGACCTGTGAGGTATTGTAGACACTTTTATCAGTGCCTGTAAACAGGTAGTATCATACATTTGCATAGGAATGAGGCTTCAATATCCCAAATTTGCCTTTGTTGGTTTTTGTCTATTTGATCAGTCAAACATGGTTTTGTACTCATGCAACATCTCACAGTGACACATGTGCATAAGCCTATGAAGTAATGGTTAAAATATCTGTGAGGCTACGCACGTATTTAAAGATCCTTTTAATTTACTGAGACTGCACGTAGATCAAATGATAATAGAGGACTTGGCTGGTGTTAATAGCAGCTAGCCGACCAGCTTAATCTCCTTCTATCCCACATTCTCTCTTGTAAATCAAATTAAACAAGATGGACTGGACAGCTGTTACCTCACTCTGATCCTGGATAATTGGATGCTGCTCCAATCCAGTGTCCCTCTGGTCTCTTCTATTCCTAGATCATTAGCTCCAAATGGCCTTTCACTTAATCTTATCCCCTAAAGTAAAATCTTACACTGGATGTTGCTTTTTTAATTTCAAAGGTTTAGAAAAAAGACGTGTGGTGCATTATAACTATACATAATAGCACTGATTTCTATGTGTCTTTCCAGTGTCATCATGTCTTACTTAGATGAACATGGGTGAGTCGATCCAGTCCAGAAAGTTCTAATTCATTAACTTGTGTTTTATGGCACGTCTAATGCATTCTTTCAATTCCTTTTGATTTAGAGGGCATCACGAGGGTAAGGGCAGCAATTCTTTCATTTAATAAATATATAAGCTGCAATTCATATCTCAACTCAATCAGACTGTGACTCTTTCTTTCTCCAGAAGAAGATGAGGAGCAGGGAGAGGGAGGTGAGACTGAAGGCTCAGTGTGGGTTGATTATATTTAGCATACCTTGGAGATAACACATCAACTACCAGCTGTTTTAGCAATCCAGTAGTAGAGACACCCCATAGACCCACACAATTGTGAATATGGTTTAAATCCTGTAATTGACTTAATGTTTACGTGTTGATTCTGTATTTCTGTGGGTAGTCCATGATCACTACCTTAGTACACAACCCAGTATCATGGCAAAACGTGTAATAGATGCGCTGGTCCATTTGGACACGCATGTTGAGGTAGCCTGTAAGCTGCAGCACCAGCAGAGGGAGATATTTTATTTAAAGCAAACATGAAAATGATAGGAAAGCATTTAAACAGACATTACTTACAGATTTACATGTAAATACACATTAGCCGCCTAGCTTAATTATTTCTGGTGATTAAGGACCTGGAGCATACTTCATACATTCCTTGCTCACTAGCCACTTCTTGGTTTTAACCCTATAATGGCATTTGTATCATATTTGCTACATGAATTTCTGAGACCTCTATGTCATTAACATGATGTGATTTGATTTGATTTGATTTGATTTGATTTGATGATCAATACTTGCCATAATTTTAAAATGTTATGGACAAAACTCTTTTTTTTTCTCTAAAATTAACATTGTTGTTGTTAACAAAAAGTTGCCAAACACGCCCAATTTATCAAATGCGATACAAAAGATATATAATAAATATATCATAAACATGATACAGAAAAAAAATTGTGGATTTTGTTATAAGAACATCTCAGTTCCAAAAAATCTGAAATTTCTGGCTATTTTTTGATGGGTTGGGTCTCACAGGGTTAAATATATTATCTCCCCTTTCTGGTTCTGCAACTTTTGCATGCAGTACCACAACTTTTGCATGCATGTCCATTTCATGCTTTGGAGAGGCAAAGCTGGCAAAGGTGGGGCTGTCACCTTGGAGGTGGTTTAGAGAGTGCTGAGTTGAACTGCTCTTTCATCATGTGAGTCGTTAGAAACATCTGTAACATTTGTGAATTTTTTTTTTCCACCCTCACCATACGAGTTATAAAGGTCACATGGGTCGAGGTTTGAGTTGGGGTTGAATCGCATGGGAAAGGATCTCAAGACTGTGTTCCAAGTAGCTGACAAATGGTGTCATAGGCCACCACCTCTACTTAATGACGGCTGTTCAAGCTGGACATAGATGGCCTCCTTGACTCCTCTGTTTCATTTATTTCCACTCTTGGCTGTGTACTATGTGGGAATCTTTAACATTTTAATCTCTGGAGGTGAGCATAAGAGACTCACCTGCATGCTGTTTTGCTTGTTAGTGGCTGCCAATATGAAGAAAGTGAGCTTTAAAGAAGGTAAACAGCTTGATTCAAACAGTAAATGAAAATGAATTGCAGGGAGGTTCCAACAAATCAAATCAAATCAAATCAAATCACTTTTATTGTCACATCACATGTGCAGGTACATTGGTACAGCACATGTGAGTGAAATGCTTGTGTGCGAGCTTCACAAGCAACAGAGTTGTGCAAAATACAATAACGTAAACAAGCAAAGTACAAGAATGGCTACATCTGAAACTAATAAATATATGTACAATATATAATAGTATATGCATTTCTGGATGTGTATACTAAATATTTTTCTACGTGTGTGTGTGTGTGTGTGTATACACATATTTTACAAATTAAATAGAGTAAACAATAAAATAAAATATATAAAAATATACATAGTTGAGACATGTGCAAAACAGTGGCATTACTGTACAGT